CTAGGCTTTGTGCTCCGTGGGAAACACGGCCTTCTTTCATGAAGCTTACAGTGTGATGAGATGACCAAGAGTGAAACAAGTATTCCGATAGATGAGTAGGTCCACAACCAGTGGTTCTGCTATCCACTCAAAGTGAAGTGAACCATCTGTGTCATGTAAACACCTAGAGATGTGATGTTCTCAGCTTCAGCTGATCTCAAGAGCAGTTCTTTGAGAATAAATTCTGACTATATTACATAAAACCAAGGAGTTTGTTGGAAGATTGTAGACAGATTATAGACAAACACACACACTTTTTATCCTCTTTTGATCAACAAGGTCATCATTAGCAGAAGTCAAATCATTTTATACTCTTACTTTATTTTTTAATTAATTATTTATTCTGTGTCTTTCACATCAAGTATCTTAATCCCATCATTTCCCTATCCCTTCACATTTGCCCTCTGCCCCTGCATTAAAAAAAAAAAGTTAAGAGGAAGAATACAAATAAAATAATAAATTAATTAATTAAAAAGGGAAGCTGCAGTGTGACACAGTGAGTCAAGCTGTGAACCTCCTTGTCCTTATGTCTGTCTTACTACAACCAAAAAGAAATGTGCAGAATACTTAAAAGGCTGAGTACTTCATAGGAAAACTGAATGCTGCAGTAGTAATCTAGGCTTATTTTTCAAAAATTTAAAAGTTTTAAAAATTCAATAGTATCACATGAAATACATCACTTTGAATGGATATCCTATAGTTACTGCAAGCTTTATATTTCAGGAAAAGGTGTATGTGCTACACGCTTCTATATAGAGATGACACACAGTGAGTTGGGTCAACGCACCAATGGCTTTTGATGCATATATATTACAGGTGTCCAACCTAAATCTTCTTTCCAAGTTACTCTAAAATACTTTGTCATGAGACAGGGCAAGATGGTACAGAGGTTCTTTCTTCCATCTTGTGTTTTTATTGAGGTCAGTTTAGGCTTGAGTAGAATTCGATTGCCTTGATGCAAAGCTCTGTGGAAAATTACCCAACTTTGTTCTAAGAACCCGAGATCAGGATGTCCCAGCCAATTTAGCTTATGTTAAACTGTGTGCTTGTGCAGCAACCCTCCAACTAACTGCTTGTCTTAGCTTCTCTTAAACTGCAGCTGTTGGGGATGAGTAGACGTGTCTTTTGCCTTTAAAAATCCCACACCCTGGACTCTTGGTGCTACCCTTGCATCCCTGAAAAAGTGGGATAGGTAGTGCAGGCATAGGTAGTACTTTTCTAAAAAGGATTCCATCAGCATAAGAAATAAGATGAGCACTTGACAAATGGGATCTCACGAAGGTGGAAAGCTTCTGGGCAGCAAAGGAAACTGTCAGTCAAATTAAGTGACAGCCCACAGAACGGGAGAAATTCTTTACCAGTCACACATCTGATAGAGGATTAGTGCCCAGAATTAAAGCTAAACACAAAGAAAATTATTGACCCAATTAAAACTGGGGGTTGTAGAACCAAATAGAACAATCTTAAAAGAAGAACTACATATGACTAGAAAATACTTTTCCAAAATGTTAAACATCCTGAGCCATTAGAAAAAAAATGCTTTTAAAACTACTTTACGATTCCTTCTCACCCTATTTAGAATGGGTAGCAAGAGTCCTAATAACAAGAAATACTGGTGTGAATGAGAGGAAGGGGAGTTTATACACTGTTGGTGGGATTGAAAACTACTACAAGCACTTTGGAAATCAGTGAGAGGATTTATCAAAACACTATAGTTCACATGTTCCTGCTACTCAAGGGACTATATCCTCTGTCACGGATAATCTTGTCCATTATTACCTTATTCACAATACTAATAGACACAGCTTAAATGCTGGTGAAAGAATAATACAGATGTGGTACATATACCCACTGGCATATTCCTCAGCTGTAAAGAGAAACTAAATTATGGAAATGTCAGGGTTATAGAACTGGGAAGAATATTTTAAGTGAGGTAACTAACCCAGAGCCCAAAGGACAAATGCCGCATGTCCCTATGAGAACGCTGGCTTCAGCTCTTTACTGTTGTGTGAAAGCTAAGAACAAGGAAGGAAATAGGTTAGTTAGCATTAAGAAGATTACATAGTAGAATACAGGTAAAAATGTAGAGGAATATTGTGGCCAGAAAAGTTTAGACAGGGAGAAAGACTAGAGGACTTGGCAGATCAAAGTGCAGGATTGGCAAGAATTCTCATAGAACAAAATTAATGGACAAGAATACATGGAAGGCGTTTGTGGTGATGGTAGATATGGATGGTAAAGAAATGGAAAGCAAGGGTTGTCAGCATGCCAAGTGTGCATATATGAAATTGTTAATAGCGATAGCAAAACACATTTTTAAAAATTGAAGTCCAGTAGGGAAGGAGGAGGAGTAGACCAGAAAATGGATACCTGGTAATGTCTGAGCTAGCTTTTTTATGTTATTCCATGAAATCTTCAGAAATGCATTTTTCAAATGTATCTGAACTTGTGAAGTAATAGGTTTCATCCTAACATCCTCAAAGTTAATTATATCTAGGGCTGGATAAAACTCCTTTCAGAAGCCATGGATAATAAAACAAGATCCCCAGTTCAGGAGTAAGATGGTTCCTTATAAGTTGTTAAAGACTAATAACAGCAGCCTTGAACATATCTCAGCCTAAAGTCATTGCTCTGATTTTCCCACCAGAATTTAAGGGAAGACACAGTTGATAAAAAATGCGTTGGTCACAAGATGTGAAGTAATCTCTATTAACAGCACCCATTGTCTCAGCTTTTGTGTAATGGGGACAGAGGGAAGCCAGGAATTGGCTTTGTTGCTTCAGGGCCTCAGGAATTGACTTTGAATGTGAACACATGCTTTATTGCTTCAGGCCTTTCAGTAAGATGAAGTGTGGAGGATGCACACTTTGCCAGATCACATGATCCCTAGACACTTTGACACAACTAAATTAAGATCAGAGGTGGCAACGACAGAGATGGGAAGAGAGTACCCAAAACTTCTGCAATATTTCATCTATTCCTACAAATAAGAATGATGGGCAAGGAACCCTTATTCACAGAATAACTGTCAGAGTAAGAACTGCATTGCAGCAATTGTAAGCTAGCCACGGAGATAGAAATGCCGCAGCAATTTTGTTAGAAAAATATAATCCAGCTCACAAGCAATAATCTCACTTTCTTGCCTTCTAAATATATTGTAATTGCCAATGAGTGCTTCACCTCTGGCAGAGCCTGAGGCCCTTTTATGTAATATCAAAAGGGAGCCGTGTGGATAAACTATCTTGCTTACACAATGTCAGCCCCATAGTCCATCTTTTCCACTTACATTTTTACTAAAGGTTATTTTTGTTGTTGTTGTTGTTGCTGTGTTCGTGCATGGATGGGTGCATGCATGTGTGTGTGTGTGTGTGTGTGTGTGTGTGAAACATGGCTTCGCTCCATTCCTGGCTGATCTGGAATTTACTATAACAAGGCTTAGCTGGAGAGCTAGGTTAACAGGCTTGCGTCACCACACTTGGATTGAAAGTTCTCTTCATATTTGGATGCTTGAGCATACTTTAAATATGGTCCAGGAGTTAGTAAGTAAAATATTCACATTAGCTCAAATTACCCACTTGATATTACTTCCTGGGTATAAATAATAGACATATCAACTATATTGCTACATCTCTCAAGTAAGACAGACGGCAAACTCCTACCTCTCCTCTCCAGAGGGAGGCTCATATTTTGGTACTCAAAGTATCACTGTGACATTTCTAACTCTACCTTTTATCAATCACAAGAGCTCTTAGCACACTGTCTACCCCAACGGTCTTCATGTGTAGCTGAAAACTCACTAGTTAACCTGGATCATCCAAGATCCTTTTGAAAGACTTTAATTTGCAGAGCAAGGATGTAGGAAGAAAAATAGTTCTTGCAAGCAGAATATAAAAACTCACAAAGAATGGATGTTCACATGGGTGGAAAGATCAGGAATTATGAGAACAAGAAAGGTTAATATGGTGATGGGGCTAATGGTTATATGCTAGGCTGATCTTGCTAAATAGGGCTAGTTACTGAATTATCAAACCTTTGCGGAATAACCGAAGGGTCTAAATGTACAGCCAAGAGAAAACCAGAGTTTGCAAGGAAAAAAAGGGATAAGAAGCTTCTCACAGGTCTTGGTCCACGACAAGGAACTAGGCCCCAACCCTGGAACAAATGGTCCCAGATGACCAGCCCTTTCTGGGTCACACCTGACCAACAGACAGTCTGGTGTCTTTCCAAGTCATTCTGTGGTTTTTCCTTTAAAGAAGAACATGTCATGTCACACCTTGGTGATCACTCAAACATGACATCGTACTTTGTAATCAATCACCTTGTGCCCCATGCATGTATGATTTACGGGTTTACTCTATAAAAAGAGCCTGAACCCCTTGAGGGGTGTGCAGCTTTCCCTGAGATTGCTGACACCCGGGTGCACTCATTCAATAAACACCTCTTGCTTGTTGAATCTCCTGGCTTTGGTGTTTGTGTCACAGGGCTCTCCCATCGGCCCATCAGGACCCCAGAATTAGGGTCTTATACTTTTTGTTATATATAGATAAAACAAGATTGAGGGGAGATGACCAGTTCTCTCATTAACCAAGATGAGATAGATTTTTCCAAGCCAGGAACTTCAGGTAGTCTGAAACCTGGGTCAGTGAGACCTATGGAATTCTACAAGAAATAAAGCCTAGGTTATATAATTGGATGTAGTGAATATGGAACAGAAACATGGAGAGAGGAGCTCTGTACCACAGAAAGAGAATTGGAGCAAGCCCAAGGACAGCTGGCAGTGAGCTGTGCCCAAGAGCTGCGCTGTCTCTAAGGAGATAGCCCTATGGGAACCTGATGACCTGTTTCACTTTGCTTTGTTTTGTTTTTAAAAATTATGTTTATTTTGTGGGGTATGGAGATGTGCATGGGCATGGGGGAAGTCAGCCAGGCAACAGTTCTTTCCTTCTGTCACAGGGTCTCAAGTCAGGAGGTCAGGTTTCGTGGCAAGCTCCTTGGCCCCTGTCATCTAGCCAGCCCCAAACAGACCTTTTCTTTATGTTTCAGGGTTCTCACTGCATGCATGTTTCGTCTTGTCTTCCTGGATTTCATTTTCTCATCTCCCACTCCTCTGAGGATTCCTCTACTTTTGGAATCCTTCCCAGCATCAAGGGATCAGGAAGAAAGCCCAGCAAATGACTCAGGATTCCCCAGAGCTTAATGGGTCTGCCTGGATTTTTACAGCACAGATGATCCACCTGGCTTTCCTTTCCCCTAAAGCAGATGTCACAGATGGCACAAGAGTAGATGTTTTGCTTCCTGTGGGGAATCTGGTGGGAGCCTATCACCAAGGATGAATGGGGTGGGGGGTGGGGACTCTGCAAAGGAGATACTGCTTGAACTAATTTCTGAAGGGGATTTGAGGCGGGTTGAGAAACAGGTTTCCTTGATAAAACCTATGAAATAAATGGAGGCAAGACGTCTTTCCCCTCCAGCTCATTACTGGACCAGAGTTGGATCTGGCATCTGGGGATGAGGCTCTGCTGTTACTTGCCTTTATCCTGGCCTCTGTTGTAAGCTAGGCTGTTCCCTTGAGCATGTCCAACTGCCAGGTCCCACCCACAGAACACTCTTAACTGCCCTAATGGCTGGACACTGACCCTACTCTACAGAGTAAAAAAAACCCAATCTCTGGACTAGAAATCCCACCAATCCCCACCCTGGAAAGCTTCCCCTGAAAAGTTCCACCCCCTTCCCCAAGGAAACTCTATATAATCCCTGGCTTCTGCTCAGTTTCCTTCCATTTCTTGCCAGAGCAGAGGCATTCACCCTACTGATGTTTTCCCTCCCAATGAATCTCTTGTGTGAGATGTTGAGCTAAGCGATCTTGTGGTATTCTTTGGCTCCTGACTGCCTGGATATCTTTCCATCCGAGCTGCTATAATGCTACATCTGGTTCCCAGATTGCTTTCACATGCCTGGGTATGGAGGCTTGTGATCTAGGTGTTATAGGTGGAAGGGTCATGGTATGCTCTTGGTTGACAGCCACTAGCTTCCTGTTTTGGTTATCTTCAGGTGGCATTTTACCCCAGGCCGATCCTGGAAGCATTTTTCACACTCAGGGAAGGGTCTATGACCTAAATGAGCATATCAGAGACGTGTCAGTCCAGAAGCATTATTTTAAAAGTCTTGCCACAATTTTCAAGAGAAAGACCTCTCTCCACAGTGCTGGGGCTTCCAACCATTGTAGAACCATTTGAAAGATTCGGTTACTCCCTTTTTTCTTTTTTGACCTTGAAGGTATAACTTGCAAACTTACTTTAAAATTCTCATGTATTCCACATGTGCTGTTGAAAAAAATTCAGAATGATCTTGTAAACAGCTTGTGTATGTGTGTTTTAATACACATTACAAACCAAACACTGAAATATCAGTAATAAAAGTTGTAAATCAGTGATTATTATGCTAGATCAGATTTTTTTTCAGTTTCTAAGACATGTTAACAAGGACTTGGGTCCAAAATATATAATTAGTATCACTGAAATGACAGAAACAATGGAAAATTCTGCCTCTATCTTCCCAGTGCCCATGGTACAGATGTCAATTATGGTGACACACATTCTTTGTTCATTGCAGTTGTCACCAGTAAAATCTTGCTTTCATCATGGACTTCTACACAATTTTATCTACTAAGTATTACTTTTCTCTATCCTTTAACTTTTTTTTTAATCACTTGTCCAGTAAGAGCTTTCTTTTTCTTCTCACATAGAAATACTGAATATCCATCATTCATCGGTAATCTTATTGAGGTCCTACTATAAGGGAAAAGTGGGTAATTTGGGGAATAAAATAACTATATCCAAAGCAAGATAGTAAGTAGTGAGCTAAAATTTCAGACTAAGCAAGATCCTGCAGCATCTACTCTCATTATCCCTATCTTCTTAGCCTATCTCTTCATCTCCTCAAATCACACGACTTACTTTCAGTTCAAATTTTGGCAAGCTGCAGGGCAATATGGAGGGTTGCCTTATGACCTTTTACTGTGCGGATTATTTCCCAATTAATTTACTTATCACACTCCTATATATCTTCTACCTTTCAGCCAATACTTTCTTAGGGAAACTTTTCCTTATACCCCAAATTAGGCAAGATTTCCCATTGTGTACCATTGCCATCCTATTGTTTGATGTTGGGTTGTAGGTACCATATTAGAGAGCAAAGGTCACCAAGAGGCTAAGCCTTCATTTTCTGAAGAAGGAGAGTGGTACAGCCTTCTTGGAAAAGACTGACACTCAGCTATCTCACTGGAAGTACTTTATTCAATCATATACAAGCATCAGACATATATAATTGGAGCTGGGAAAGGTTCCAACTATCAAAGCAATTTTATTCTTGCTGTCCATGAGAGCAGACAACCCACACAAATCTCAAGGTTTCCAGGAGTGTCTTAGGAGCAAGGTCAGTGCAACTGCTAGATGTCACATAGCACCAAATGCAGACTCTCCAGAGAAACATTTCTTTAAGGTTTAAACAGACTTAAAACAATTTCTCTTTCTCTACCAATCAACCCAAATGTACCAAAGGGAGTTGCACTACTGGGCAGTTTGATTTTGTTAGATTGGTCTAGCCTTGTTGGAGGAAGTGTGCCACTTTGGAGGCAGGTTTTGAGGTCTCCTGTGTTCAAGATACCACTCAGTGTCATAGTCCATTTCCTGTTGCCTACAAGATGTATGACTCTCAGCTACTTCTCCAGCACCACATCTGCCTGCACATCAGCATGTACACAATAATGATCATGGATTGAATCTGCGAAACTAGAGGTAATTCACGCCAATTAAATGTTTTCCTTTATAAGAGTTGCTGTGGTCATGGTGCCTCTGCACAACATTAGAAACCCTACCTAAGACAGTTTTGTTTTCTATCCTGGGTCTCTAGGCTATCCAGAATCCAGTTCTTGGTCATTTAGGCAGTATCAGGTATGGGCTCCCTCTTGTGGCATGGGCCCTTCCCACAAGTTCTGCATGTTCATTGCCTCAGCACATCTTGCAGATGGGATTATAGGTCTAAGGTTTCGTGGCTGGGTTGGTGTTCCAATTCCACCACTGGAAATTGCCTGGTTACATAAGATGGCTTGTCTGTTCTCCATATTCCCCATCATTAGGAATCCTCACTAGGGTCACTCTTATATGTTGCTGGGAGTTTCTACTGACTTAGGTTTCCACACCACCCCCAAAAGTCCTCCAATTAAATTCCAGTTGCCTCTCCCAGTACTCTCTTCCACCACCCCATCCCTCCTGTTCCCCAATGCTCCTGCAAAATCTACTCTATTTTTCTTTCCCAGGAAGATCCTCATGCCCCTCTTAGATCTCTTCTTGTTATTTGCCCTTTCTGGGTCTGTGGATTGTAACATGACTATAATTTACTTAACAGCTAATATTCACTTATAAGTGAGTACATTCCAAGCCTCCACCTCCATGAGTATTAGGATTAAAGGTATGGGCTACCACCACCCAACAAGCTTTTGAATTGTCAGTCGTTGGCTTCAATTCCAGGGAAAATGAAGTCTATTCAGAACATCCTTTCTGCATCACTTTCACTAACTCCCATCTGACAGAGGGCTGATCGTGTGTGTGTGTGTGTGTGTGTGTGTGTGTGTGTGTGCGTGTGTGAGAGTGTGTGTGTGTGTGTGTGTGTGTGTTCAAGAAACTAGACATCAACAAACCAGATATTCCACTTTTAAAACGGGGTGCAGATCTAAACAGAAAATTCTCAAGAGAGGAAACTCAAATGGCTGAGACACTTAAAGGAATGTTCAACACTCTTACCCATTAAGTAAGTGAAAATAAAAACTACTTTAAGATTTCGTCTTGCCCCTGTCAGAATGGCTAAGAACAATAGTGCAAGTGGCAGCTCATGCTGGCAAGGATATGGAGCAAGGAGGACATTACTCCATTGCTAGTGTGAGTGAAAACTTGTCCAGCTACTTTGGAAGTCCATATGCGTCTGTGGACTGTAACATGACTGAAGGAAATCATTGCAAGCCACACATCTGTCACAGGCCACACATCCAGAATATATAAAGAACTATAATGAAAAAGTTGAAAAAAACCAACAGCCAATTCAAAGAATGAGCCAGCTGTCTAAACAGAGAGTTCTCAAAAGAAGAAATAAAAGTAACTAAGACATATCTCAAAACATTTTTATCATTTCTGGAAATTAGACAAATTTAAATAAAACAATATTGGTGCCTGTTGGTGAACATGGTATCGGAAACATCTTAAATCTAAATTCACAAGCCATGATCACTCATATGTGACTCTAGAATGAACTATATTATTCTTGCTAGAAAACAAACAAAAAAGAATGTTCTGCCATTCTCCTTGCCTCAGAGAGAAGTTAAAAAAGATGTTATATCAAATTTACTTACATACCCTAAAATGTGAATATAAATGTGTATTTTATCTTATGTAAAATCTTAACATTTTCTGCTTAACCCAACATACTTGGAATATTATCATATCAATGTAAAATCAATGGAGGAGTAATTTGTGAGAGGTTTCACTTTCTTATTTTATTTTTTACCTTTTGATGGAGGTATTTTTAACAGCATTTCAGGGAAGGCACAATATGGAAAATAAATATCCTGATATGTATGATAATTTATTAATTATGTTTCTTTGTATTTTTTACTTATATATTAACTGCCTATGAACGGAAAATCCAAACATGCAACAGTGATAAAATTTAGTCAAATTTGGCATTTTTTTAGTCATATAAACTACAGCTTTACATACGTATTTTACAGGTTTATTGTGTGATGATAAATGATGTGTTGGGACCATTTGCTTCCGTGTGTCTGTTTGCCCTAAGTCCTATACATGGAAAAAGGTAGCTTGTTTACTTTTTCTACATTATAAGACTAATATGCGTTTTAAGGAAACAATTCTTAAGAGTCACAGAGTCCCTCTCCCATGTGTACTAGAATTTCTTATCCTGAATATCTATCCATAGTTCCTCTATGATTCTCTTCAAGTTTTATTAATGTAATGCTGAGGATGGAAACGAGAGTCACACATATGATAGGCAAATATTCAACCTCTGTAACAACCCCATTGTGATTTTCTGTTTGTTTGTTTTGTTTTTGAGACAGGGTCTTACAAAGTATTCAAAGTCAGAATGAGAAAATTTAGTGATGTGAGGAATGATTGACAAGTGGTATCCTGAAGCTTCTCATGCTGAAGTTGTGCTCTATATCTTCATTTTATTGCTGTGTTCAGGTATGAGGCGGTCCTGGAGAAATGGATGTTAGGAAAACCATCTTAACAATATGAGCAAGAAATAAAAGATAGCAGTTCAGTCACTCCAGTTCTTGTGTGGCAAAATCCGAAGAGCATGGGCAAGAGAGAGAGAGAGAGAGAGAGAGAGAGAGAGAGAGAGAGAGAGAGAGAGAGAGGGAGAGAGAGAAGCCTTGAATTTTGGGTTTAAGACTTTATATTTTATTCTGATGGCTGAGTGATATATATATATATATATATATATATATATATATATATATTAAAGTGAAGTGAAAAAACATTTAGTTTTTATCATTAATAAAATGTGGCTCATTTGTTTTCAGGAACAAGCTTCATTCCCCTTTGTAGGACCAGGAGGAGAGATAAATAGTACAGCCCACTCGTTCTAATGATAAACTCCTGTTCCCACACTTTCCTGTTGTTTTCTAGTGCTGGAAGGAAGTACTAATCCCCCAGCTATGTTGGCATTACTGACATGGACACCAAGGTCATGGAGGATGGATAGATTTGTTCCAATCGGCCACATGTGAACTGAGGATGGCTATGCTATCTTTCTACAGTAAGGAGAAGGCATTCATTTTCACAATTCATATACAATACCTTCCTACAGGCATTGCTTTTGCTTTTTTATTTATTTTTTGAGGGACTTACTGCTTCCAAGCTAGGCTCACACTCATCATCTCCCTGCCTCAGCATTCTGCATGATGGGATCACAAGTATGTATCTGCCACTTGGCTGATTCCTTGTTTGAAAAGCAAAGAAATATATACTGGGCTTTGGATGCAACTGAACTGGTAGAGTGCTTGTCTAATATATAGGAAGACCTGGGTTCAAGCCCAGTAATGCAGGAACCAGGAATAATGACAAACTAAACAAAGCAAAAACAGTGATATACTTAGATTTTGGTTTTAAATTCCCAACATTGCAAAGAAGCCCTTTTAAAACATGTATGAAGCCATGTTCTTTTGTAGTGACATTCTAAAATAGAGCGTCACTACAAAAAAAAAAAAAAAGCTTAGAGTGAAAATATTAATTGTTAAAACATTCTTGAAAGTTTTACACAACATGGTTCCCTTTTTTGATTCTGTTTCCTTTGTCTTAGTCAGGGATACTACTGCTGCGAGGAAACATCTTGACCAATGAAACTTGGGAGTGAAAGGGTTTATTTGGTTTGTGTTTCCACATCACTGTTCATCATCAAGGGAAGTCAGGACAGGAACTCAAACAGGATAGGAACCTGGAGGCTGGAGCGGTTGCAGAGACCATGGATGCTGCTTACTGGCTTGTTCCTCATGGCTTGCTAAGCCTGCTTTCTTATAGAACTCAAGACCACCAGCCCAGGAATGGCCCCACCCACCATGGGCTTGGTCTTCTCCCATCAATCACTAATTAAGAAAATGTTCTACAAGTTTGCCTACAGCCTGACTTTATAGGGGCATTGTCTCAACTGAGGCTCTCCTCTCTGATGACTTCAGTGTGTGTCAAATTGACATAAAGTTAGACAGCTCACCCCTCTGAGTCTTTTATTTCAACCTCATTCTGACTCTTCTTTAACTATATGAGCATCTGTACTGTACCTCTACCACAGTTACCATGGGGCTATCTGAGGGCATTTGCACTTGCTAGTTTGAAGTTACAGTTTATCCTAGCAAGGGGTCACAGTGAAGGGAGCCTGAGGTAACTGGTCACATTGTGTTCTCATTCAAGAAGCAGAGCAAGGCATGCTTATGTTCAGCTCAGTTTGTCTTTCTAAACTTACTTTTACTATTTTGTATTTAGGAGTATGTGCATGTCTCTTTGTGGGTATGTGCACATGGGTGAACATCCTAACAGAACCAAGAAGAGGGTGTTAGATTTCCTGGTGCTGGAATGACAGTTGGTTGAGAGCTACTTAAGGTGAGTGCTGGGAAAAAACTCAAGTCCTCTGAAACAGTAGTAAACACTCCTGACAGATGAGCCATCTCTCCAGCCCCTAAACCTCTCAATTTTATATAGTTCTAGAGCACAAACCTAGGGAATGGTGCCACCCATAGTGTGTAGTGCGATGAAGAGTCCAAGACCTTCCGGATGAACTTGGAATGGTTACCTGGACCTGGGTGCCATCCAGTGATAATTGAAACCTCAGGAAGCTTCCTGTTTCCAGCCTCTTGTCCTTCCCACTGGACAACAGCGGCTCAACATAGAGCGTTCTTACAATTGACTTCACTTTGTGTAGGTTCCAGGAATCCCGGTCCTCTTCTACTCAGACAGGGATCAGAACGACGGATGTTTGCCTTTACATATCACCATATTGCATTTGTTCTTGAGACTGAAGTCTTCTTATTAAAGCTATCTGTTTATGTATATTAGATTTAGACCTGTATTCTCTGGGTCATCTAATTTTCTTTTTATCTGTTATATGAAGATATTTGTGGACTGCTTTATTTATCGCATGCTCAGGAAACATTTATATTCCAGAGATCAAATCAAAAGGAAAATAACAGTGGGGAAAGAAGGTGTAGCATCTCATTCCCTTCCTGTCCTTCCTGGTGCTTCCTATTGAGGTCTTCAGATGGCATCCTACCATTTCCGGCTCCTAAGGCTGCCCCATATTAAAGTCCAAAGTGTACTGACTTGCCGTTTATTTCAGCTTTGTATGGTTATTGTTCTAGTAGCCTACAAGTGGGGCGTCACTTCCCACTTCCAGTTTCTAGGTCTGGGCTTCTTGGTTACAGAACTTGTATCTGTCAATTTCTTTCCTACTACTCCTCGGCTCTACTTTGGCTCTGGATAAAGAAGGATCAGAGCTGCTTTATGAAGAAATTGTGATGGTGACCTCTTGTCAGATTCCTGAGCACTCTAGCTCTGGGTTTCCATATGTAGTTCTGCCCCCAATCCTAGACTGGAAAGTGGGATTTAAAAACAAATGGCTCTCAGAGAAGAAACTTAAGTGAGATTTAAACTGGAAATAACTACTTGATTGCTATGGCCCTCCAAAATTCCCATTGAAACTTAATCTTGTGGCAGCACTGCTAAGCACTGGGACCTTCCCATTTACAGCATCACGAAGTCTTCTCATGAATGGGCACATTAGTAGCTTTGTTAAAGAAACTTTAGCTTTATTTACATTGGAACCTTTTTGTATGCTGCTTTTGAAAGATACCTGTGCTAGGTAAGGCACAGCCACCAGATCCCCTCTTAGATGTAAAGACCATTCATTCTCACCGTTCATCCAGTTGACTAGCAACAGCTGCCAGAATCGAAAGTTACCCACTTACGGGTAGGACAGATGGGTTAAGACCGTGTTCCAGGTAAAATGTCCTTATTTACTCTGGGGGGGGGCGTATGTTGTGTGAAACATTCCTGCTTCTTTAGAACATGGGGAAAGGCTAGGATTCAGTTAGCTATGTACTTTACCTTCCCATTCTCCCCATCCAAAATTCATAAGAATCAGAGAGTAAGCACTAAAAGTAGAAAGTAGTTCGCTGAAGTGAGTATTGGCTGCAACTTTTTGAAGCTGTTAAACCCATACAAATCAGGAGTGAGTATACACATACAATCAGACCAGGAGTGAGCAGCATGGTCCAGTCACTGAAAGGCTCAGTCAAACTTCCACTTCTCCATAGGGGGATAGGGTTGAGGAGGCTTACTCAGGAGCCATCCTCATTTCCAACTACCATCGTGAGGAATATTTATTCCAGTTCTTTGTCTACTCGATTTCCTTCTGTAATTAGAAATTGCAAAAAGTTCATCCTGAAATTTGCTATGAGACGGAAACAAATCACAGACTATGAATGTGTTTTGTCAACTGTAAGTCACACATGAATCAGATTTTGGGTCGTAAGGGTGAGGCTTGGCTTCCATTCTTGGGCCCTGGGTAGTCATCAGAGGTTACACAGGTCTGCAGGATGTTGTCAGTGATTGTGATGGTTGTTCTTCATTGCCAACACGATTGCATCTGGAATCACCTAAGAGATGTGGTGCTGGGCAGGTCTATGAGGGTATCCCTGGAGAGGGAAATTTCATATTACATAAAAGGGAAAGGCACATCCTCAAAGCGAGCAGCACCTTCCAGTGGGCCCCGCATATAAAGAAGTTCAAGGAAAAGCCATGGCTTTGTGCTTGCACACATCACTCTGTTGCTGCCTCTCACAGTCCTCTTCTGACATTAGCACTCACATACCCCAGCCTCCCAATAGGAACTGAAGGTCAGAGGCTTCCAGGATCCTCCAGATTTGGACTGCTCAGGGGTCCAGCCTTGTAGACTGAGCAGTGATTCTTGGTCTTTCCAACATGTGGCCAGCCATTGTAGGACTACCCAGAGTGCATCACGCCAGACAATCTAACAAATCCCCTCTTACTATATATTCATCTTGTGTACTCTTTTCTAAGATGGTGACTTTTAAGATGTTTCCAAATCTGGACTTTTCTCTAACAGGTTTCTCCAATCTTGTCTACTGAATACATAAGAACACCAAAATGGACTCCACTTTAGGCCTTGTGTTTACTTTACTAATATTACTTTACTAATATAAAAATAACTTCCTATGGCAAGAAAAGCAATACAGGAATTGTTATCTCTGAAGTTTGCCAAGGATGACTTTTTTTTCCTTATGATGTTCATTTTTTTTTAAAAAAAGAGTATATTTTCTCACAAATTCCACTTAAGAAAAACATGTAACATTCAAAGTAATAGAATACTATACTAAAAATTTGTATCTACCTAAAAGTAGTTTAATTTCATTATGTAAATGCAAATTTCAGGGGTGAACACCCTCTTCAAAGAAAACTTTGTTCAAATTTAATACCACTTAGAGAGGAACAGTGAATGTGCATGCAAAATTATATGGAGTTGAATGTGGCTATCAACAGGTTTGCCTTAAACTCTATGGTTGTTTTGAGGCCAAGTGCATTAAACATTGTGTGCATTTGGATGCGAAGCTCCACTGCAGTTCAGCATTGAAAGGAAGAAAATAAAGATATTCTTGTATCTACAACAGTAGGTGTTTCCAAACTTACTTTATTTAATAGCTTCCAATGGCTGAAGATTTTCATATCAAATAAAATTTTTTATCAGAAAATGTACCTAAAATAAGTCTAAAGATGTTTTTAGGGAACTTAATATTCTTTATGGGACCAGATGTTTTGTATAGTTTGTTTTTTTGGGGGAGACTTTGTAGTGACTGGTCAAATCATTTATGTGGAAGTAAATCATGCATTGGGGAAATGTTAGCAAAATGAAACATTGCCTTCATTTCCTATAAGGACAAATGAAAGCTATGTTCATGTTTGAAGTACTGGATAATGCAAATTATCACTTATATTTTTATATTTGGTTTGGGGATATAAGGCAATATTCAAAATGTATATGAAAGTGCAAACACATATACACACAGAAAGAGAGAAGGGGGAAACTCTGGAACTCTGTTAGATGGTCGGCTAGAAGTTTCAACAATTCCTTGTGAAAAAGACTTTTTTCCCCCAAAAGCTAATAGGGAAAATGTACCTAAATAGATGTTCCTAATGAAATATTCCTGTAAATGGTTAAATGCCTTTAGACCTAGGGATAATAACATAATGAAAGGTGATGCTTTGGGGAGGAAGATATCTACTCAGAATAGAAAACAGTACCAGTTATAAATCACAATAATTTTAAAAAATATTTTCAATGATAATTTCCATTTATCTGGTAAGTTTTTCCATAAAAATTATAAATTGCTTTAAAAGAGAACATAGACTAGTCAATTTGTTTTAGTTTCTTCAGTTTTCTAATCAAGGAGTTAAACTAAATGCTAATCTTTCAGCTCTAATAATCTATGATTCAAGCTAATAGACGGTATTAAAATGGTCCCATTGGTTTATGATCATAGAAAAGACGGGGTAAACTTACGAAGCCTGGCAATGTAACTTTTTTGTTTGTTGATAACTAAGGAAAGTACTAAGTGACGAAAGATAATATCCAAAGCTCAAACCCACTCAGGTTCCAGTCACTTACCCCTGTTTCTAAATCAGCCTGGCCATCAAATGTATTACATTGTTATGTTTTATCAAAGACTCCAAGAATCCCAGGCTCCACCGCTGTTAATCTTTCTATATTATTTTTGAGATGAGATCAGGACTTTCCATTTTTAAAGGATATCTCAACATTGTAGTTTGGTCATAAAGATGGGGGCTGAGATCCAGGGGTGCTGCCTGGGATCCAGGGGCACAGAGGAATAGAAATGACCACGGCAATATCTATCGTTTATCATCTCCTGCCCCAAGGAACCACTTTTCCAGTGTTTTCTCTCCTCTAGGGGGAAGAGTATAGAGCAATTAACACCTGGAATCTTGGCTATTTTCCTGTGGTAGGAAAAGCCCTCCAAGGGCGCAATAATGAGAGAGTGGGTCTATAACCTTTACTATTTGTGCCAAACTCACATTCTAGACACTTAATTCCACTTAAGCCCTACAAGTCGTCTTACTGTAAACCACGAATTTAGCCACCACTATGCTACAGTCTCAAGCCTTTTAAGGCAATCTGTGATTTACAAATTATTTACTTTACTTCAGGGAATGGTATCATAAAGTGGATTCCTCTTAGTGGCTAGAGTATCATAAGGAGAAAGACTACTGAGTTTGTTTCTTTTTGGGGTGAAGTAGATTTAATACTTAACTAACCAAACAACATAATTGCTTATAAATGGAAACAGTGGACAACAAAGTGGCTTTTAAGATCATCCATGAAGGATTCTGAGGATATCAACTTTCTGGCATCCTCCATGCCACTTATGAGATAGATTTCATATACCTGGTGTGAGCAGATTGTAGCTGAGAGATCTAGGTCATAGTTTCTTTTGACCATCAGTGCCCAAATATAGTTTAAGGCCTTTTAACACAGTATAAGAAACACAGCATAATTTAGCTGTCAATAAAATATTGTTCCTGATAATCCTCCTTATAAAAAAAGTGAATTAATCTCTTATCTACTAATTTTTGGGAAACAATCAGAAAAAGGAAAAAAAATCAAAGCAAGTGGCTAACTTCCATAGAAGCAGATAAAGCAGCTAAACTAAAAGCTTACAACAATTTTAACAAAAAGTAAAATTCAGCACAATTTAATTCCTTTTTGTATCTCACAAATGTTGATTACTTAGATGAACAAAATAAATTCATTACTCTGTCCTGTCATTATTAAGGCAGTCTTATGATACTGGCTGTGAGAATCAAGTATATAGTTAAAGCCATGTGAGACTACCAGATGATATGTAAAATCACAGGTGAGCATCTTATGCTTGCTTGAGAAGACTGATCTGTTAAACCTGTGATGTTTTTATTTAAACAAGAAATCAATAATACACGTTACCATCATATGGGTTAAAATGTTATTTAAGATCGACTTCCAGAAAACCGCTAATGTTTGGTTTGTGTATAATTCTTATTTTTCAATGTAGTTGGTGGCCAAGGAAATGGTTAATACTATATGAACATCAAATGCCTTAGGTGGATACCTATTAAAAGGTGCAAAATATAAATAGGATTGTATATTTTTCAAAACTTTAAAATGAACATAAAGAATATATAGGTCTACATGTTATAATTTAAAGTCAACACTAGCACATATTTTTTTTTTACCTAAATACATTCCTATGATAATACATGCATCTACAAACACATGGCCATGCACATAACCTTGTTTTCTGCATTTGCAAGAAAGTTAGAATATACAGTATTGTACATTGTGTCAACTTAAATCATTTTGGGAAGTCAATGGAGATGTCAATAAAAAAATCTAATCTAAGAAATTAAAGTACAAGGAGAAAATTATCCCATAGATTAAAAACACTGAAGACTGATGGAAAGTTAGGGTTAGATCGCTTGTCCCAGTGATCTTGAAAGATGCAGAAGAGAACAGGACTGTTTGTAAAAACACTCTGAATAGTCAGTTTGGCAAAAGGGACGAGAACTATTGTAGTCCAGCAATCCAGGCTAGAGATCTAGACCATCTGGGCTGCAGTTTTCAGAGAGACTATGTAGCTGTGGGCTGTCCTCCGTAAGGCTGGGGGTGCAGATGGTGATCTGGATGCCCATCTGGATGGGAGCCGGCGATTGGATGGTCTAGCAGGTCGGGAAAATCCTTTTCCATTCGAGGCTTTCACTGTTATGGATTCCTACAACACAAATAAAGGCCACTGTCTCCTTACACACGACGACTTGATCCAAGGAATACATCAAAAGGATCACCACCCCCACCACCATCATAACAACAATAAAAGTGTTCATACGATTTTGTACTCATAGTTCCAACTGTCTTTAGTTTTATTATATTTAGGTGTTTTTCCTCTATACCCGTATGTATGTGCACCGTGTGTGCCTGGTGGCCACAGAGATCAGAAGAGGTCATCAGATTTCCCGAAACTGGAGTTACAGAAGGTTATAAGATGTTATGTGGGATCTGGGAACTGAACTCAGGACCTCTGGGAGAGCAACAAGTGCTCTTAACTCCTGTGCCATCAGTCCAGCTCCTGCAACCCTGCACCTGGCCTTCCTGAGAAAGCTGATATTCTCACATCTGAGACAGGCAGTGAGGACAAACTTGGGTGCTACTATTTCCCTCAGAGCCAAGCAATAGCCTCATCTTGAAAGAATAATATATTAATTTTATTTACTTATTTATTATTTACTTATTTTTGAGGCAAGCTCTCACGACATAGTCCCAGATAGCCTGGAACTCAACTTTGAAAATCACACCAGTCTTGAACTCACAGAGATCCACCTGCTTCTGCCTCCTGGGTATTGAAATTAAAGGCATGAGTGACCACATGTGTCCTTGATATGACTTATTTTTAAATAATGCACTAGTTGAAGTTCTTAAAACTATACCCTCAATTCATATTAATTTATGCCTCACAGAACCAAGAAGGTAAGACGAAAGCAAAACATGTGTACATCCTACTTATATGATCTAGCTACTGAACTGATTTCAGAGCTATTGCTAAAGATGGATGTAGTTCCCAATTTCTCAACTGTGTTATCTTATTTGAATCTACTCTTTGCTCCAGTTGCTGATCCCTGCACTAAGCAAATGTTCCATGTGATACATTTCTAAACATCTGCCCTCCGTAATACCACTACTTACATCAGAACCACATTTGGTCCAGTTATCCCTGAAGCATTTCGAGTTTTGCTGTGCAGACCCCGTCTCTGTCTCATAGGTTTTCAGAAGCTTTTCTACAACACCATAATTTGATTTGGGATCAGACGACTTTGGCCGGCTAGAAAAATTGCTTGGTCGCCAATCATGCTCATGGAACATGAGATGGTAGCTGCTGGGACTCACGCATGCCTGCATTTGTTTGAGCAGACCTGTTGCAGACACTTTTGTGGAATTACTGAACACATTTTCCATGGGCATAGGCGTGTGGTCATTAGCTTTCAGACCTTTAGTCCCACTGTCATTTTCTGATAGGTCATCTCTATGAGCAGTGGGGCTATCACAGAGATTGAGATTATCAGGTGGTTTTGAATAGCTTTGACTTTGCTGTACTGGTTGACAATTTCTGTCTGTTCTAAATACAATCCTGTTAAATTCATCGATCTTTGCTGCCAGCTTTTCATTCCTTGGAGTTCTCTCTAAATTGCAGTTGTAACTTCTGAGTGGGTCTGTCTGTATCACTGAACAAAGAAAGTCATTTTTCACATGAAGATCAAGATGCGATTTACTAGGGTTATCAGGAATCACCTTTTCAAAGTTTGCTTTATTGGGGGTGCAGCCAGTTATTTGAGACCGTGCAGAAGGGCTCTCCTTTGTGCCTATTACAGTGTCACATGACAACATATTAAGTCCAGTGTCTTCGTTACCTGGAGGCTTGCTATCTCTTGTGACTTCCGGTGTCAAAGAGGAAACCATGGTACTATCTTTCAATCTTCTGTCTTCTTGTGGAAACAATGGAGACTGCCTCAAAAGGAAATGAGGGTTGCAATTCCTTTTGTCTTGACTCTCAAGGGCCACCCACCTGTGGTATAAACTTTCCTTCAGTCTTTCTTGGGCTTGTTCAGAGTATGAGCTGGGGAAATTTCGAGAGGTACTTCTTGGAGGAGGAATTGGTGGAATTTTACTTCTTTGTAAATCAATTATACCAATTCCACAGTTTTTCATAGAATTATTTTGTAGTCCATTGGCCCAGCTCAGACTGTTTTTATGTTTTTCTGTCTCCAAATTGGTTGGAAGAATGCCCTGGCCATTACTGATCAAGTGGTCCTTATGAGGTACACTGATTGCATTTGACATTTCCCGGAGAACAGACTCTGACTTCATCCTAAGCAATTATAAATCAAAGTATATCAATGACATTTTTCTTTCAAACTGAGCTTTTAAGGGAAGCCATAGTTTAAAAAATTCATCTCTGCTATAAGAGTCGCAATTTGCTTAAACATTATGTGTGTATAGTTATGTGTGTGTGTACACACATATATATATATATAAATCATGTGATATCAAAATATTGTGATATATACATATATATTATAAATCCACTTATTAAAAGTCCTCTTTATTGCTTTATTGTAGGATAAAAGTCTTCAGTGTTACATTCATGGGTTTAACCCAAATTTTACTCAGTGTCATTCCCTAACATGAAACCTCATGCCAGATTCAAACTAGACAATGTAATCTCTTGAGTTTCTGCTCTTGACCCTCCCATTTCTACAGTTTTCTTCCTGCCATATTTGTTCCCTCTTTGCTATGCAATTTCTATTCACTACTCTTAATTCCTATTCAGTCTTCCCTTTTCTCCTTGAACTGTAAATAACACCAGGAATAGTGTTAGTCTGAGCACTAGGTAATCATGAGCATTAGGTAACCCCAAATGGAAAGTGTCATTTGAACTTAAAAGGAAAGTAAGATTGTATTTTATGAATCAAAGAAAGGGAATACAAAGAAACAGGGTCTAACAAGGTGTGCCCATTGAGAGAATGAAGAGTTCCCTGGATGGATTTAAAGCAGAGTGAGGGATATTGGGTGACACAGAAATATTAAGTTATGCCAAATCTTAAAACAATGTTAAACCACATATTGAGCCCTTGAAATGCTTTCTGGAAGGCACTGGGATAACTATAAAAGCTTCAAAGCTTCACTTTTTAATAGTTTTTTTTTTTTTTGAGAATTTTATACCATATATTTTGGTTATATTCTTTGATCTTCCCTTATCTCCTCCCAGATCTTTTCTACCTCCCTACTCACCCAACTTTATGTCCCTTTCATCATGCCAGTTTTATTCTATATATGATTTATGAATGGAGACTGGCAAGTCTCTGTATAAAACACAAATAGAGCAACAATGTGGACTAACAAACAACAAAATCACATAGCAAATTATACATATTGAACTTATAAAAAGCTTCTACACAACTTAAAATGAAGTATAGTAAGCACTGACCAACAGAAGACAGAAGGAACATCAGTGGGGTGGGCAAATGGAAGGCGATGCACAGAGGCTAACAGACTCTGCTGCCAGTCAGTAAAACTTCTCAGTTTCCTGACAACTGAATAATAATAAGGAATCTCATTGTTGTAATATTCTAAGAGAATATCTGATCCCTTGATGAACTAATTATTGATACAGAATAATATGTACTCGCTATGCACAGAACTCCAAATTATTAGTTTCTTTAAACTTAGCTAAAACTGTCTTAAAACTACATTGTTTTAGGTCATAGGTGCCATATAATATGTTACTTTGAAAAGTAAATACTCTTTTGTTATATACCTAACTGCTGAGAAATACATGACCTAGGCATAAAATATTTAAATAGAACATCTTATATTGTTCAAACACTACATTGTTAAATTTGTCATAGTTTAAAAACATATTTAACTGGATTTGCTCATCCATATATTTTTCTACTGGTCAAACACTCAGAATGACAAAGAGCTGAAATAGAGGATACATACCCATTTATTACAGAGTCTACCTTAACTAAATACCCAAAGAATATCATATTCCTAATATTTACATTATGAAAAAATATTAGAAGATTGCTTTTAAGAATCCATGAGGTATATACATGATAAGGCAGTTTAGATCCACTGACTGTAAACAGAATTCTTTTGGATTTCCCAGTTTACAATAACCACATGTGTGCCAGCCTACCTTCTGTGGTTAGGTCGCTTTCGGATTTCCTCTTGAAAGGTGCATAATTCTTCACTTACTTTTGCAAGTTCTTCAAGAGCCTTCATACACATAACACATAAAAGAGAGGCATTGTTAGCATTTAGAAGTGCAAACACTTCTTTAGAAAGAGTTCCCGGCTGATCCCATCTTACTTACTGTGTTAAGGGCAACAGAACAATCTTTACTCTCCTCCTTAGAAGTCCTTGTGTCAGCCCATGCCTCACATGCCTCCTCTTCTGTGGCCATAGGATTCAGAAGCCCGACTTTGCTTCCTGTGGGTATGTTTTGTTTTTTATAAGCTTGGCTTCCTTCTCTGAGGAAGACCTTCTCTAGTTCATTGTCTTTTACCAGATCATCTCGGTGATTCGTCATTCTAAAGTCACATCCTGAATTGGGGTGATTTGGAGGAAGTTCCATTTTATCTTGATCAAGATCAAAGACCTTAGAATGTTCATTCATGTTCATTTTCCTCCTCAGCTTTACTTCCTGGCAAAGCTGTAAGAAATGAAAAATAAAAATTTACTTTTCCTAATTTCCTTGATCAATAACTTTTTATCATTCCTTTTTTTAGATCATTATTTATTTATTTATTTATTTATTGAGGCAGGGTTTCTCTGCATTGCTTTGGAGTCTGTCCTGGAACTCACTCTGTAGACCTCGAACTCGCAGAGATCCTCCTGCCTATGCCTCTCGAGTGCTGGGATGAAAGGTGTGTGCCACCAACACGCTGCTAATATATTTTTTAAAAGCAGAGTTTTATTATATGGATCTCATTATGAAGACCAGAATGTCCTCAAGCTCCCCAATATCTACCTGCCTCTGACTCTGAGTAGTAGAAATAAAGTCGTGTGCTACTATGCCTAACTTTGATCAATATTCTTGATACTAAATCAATTTGAGTTCTCTTTGTAATATTACTATATGTTACCATGGGTATTAATGATTGTGCATATAGATAGTGCTTTTAGGACAGGGATGAGCTAGCACAGTTTTGGTGAACCATCAAGACTAGTTTTAGTAGGGTAATGCATGGATACCACATTCTGTTTTTCTGATGAGAAATCAACTCATTGAAAAATAAATTAAGTCTGAATCTATACAGAATGCAGAAGCACAATCACAAAATTACACTGACACAAATCAATTACTCTCTATTCTCTATAACCACTTTCTAATATAACCAGAGTTTACCATTAATAGTCATATAGTTTAAACATATGATCTTATATAACAACATTCACTGTCTAAATAGCTGACAGCATCATATAGTAAATCAACATATTATTTACTCTAAGTAATCCCTTATTAATCATTCCCCTTGGTTGGTCAACTTACATTATTGAAGGGTAGATATATAGTGATATTTTCAATGCCACAATGATAAACATTCTTTTCAAAAGTTGTTTTTATTCAGATTAAAATGATTGCATCAATGTTCTAAATGATAAAACAGAGCTTTAAAGCGTGGACCAACTATCACCTCCATAAAAGACAACCCTGAATTGTTCCTTAGGGACGCTGCCTTAGTGAAACCAGCAGATACTCCATCAGCTCACCCCCCAAAGTGAAGAAGGAAGTAGTGTTCTTCTGAGGTTTGCTTGCATCTTGCAAAAGCATATCACACCATCAAATAATTTTAAAGCAAATGCATTTAGATTTCACAAATGCAGTAAATGTTTGTAATAATAACATACTCAGTATTTATACATAATTGCAGTTGAGAGAATATACATAGCTAATACATTAACAATGCACAGTGCTTTTAGTTCCCCAATATTGATAAAGATTTTAAACACTCCTCTGAATGACTGAAGTACAGTTGCCATTAAACTACAGCAAAAAATTGATTGTTTTGATGCTTATAAAATTATCTGTGATGAATTGCTCTTCAACATGAATGATACAAGGAGCAACCCCCAAAGTTCCATGTTAAATTTAAGGATGCTATTAACAATGTTTTCACATTTTTAAGAATTCCTGAATAGACTTTGACACTCACCTTTAACCCCAGCACTCAGAAGGCAGAGGCAGGAGAATCTCTGTGAGTTCCAGGCCAGCCTGGTTTACAATGCGAATTTCAGGACAGTCAGGGCTGTTACACAGAGAAACCTCGTCTCAAAACAGAACAAAACAAAACAAAACAAAAATTCCTGAACAAAAAGAAATTTGCTATATTTTCAAATCCAGGAGAAATTGTGCTATGCATGACACATGGCTTTTCATTTTGCATGTTAACTGTATTGGGTTCTAGAAAGATCCACTCTTGTGTATTATATGCAATTCCTTTTCCTGTATTCATCTCATCCTTCAGTTTTTGGTTTGGTATAATTTATTTTATATGTAATTTTATGCCATTGTAGCTTCCCAAGACTTCTCAACTTGGTTGAAAAATTAAAACAATAATAGCAGCTATCCTGCCCCCTCCCAAAGTAACTAGTACACTGTAATGAATGGGAAATGTTTCCTTTGGTATAGGGAATTTGTTCTGCTTAATACTCAGCCTTTGTCAGTAGCTGAATGACCAAAGGACACAAGAAAAGGTTGCAAGGGAACAAAAAATTTTCAAGATTTCTGTCAGCTTAATGTGTCCATGATCACAGTTCATATGTGGATTATTCTAGGTTTCAACTGGCCTGAGTACGTATAACTTAGATTTCAGTATCAATTGCAATGCTCACAGAGAGGGACTCAGCAGGGACGCACGAGCATCTTCACACTGGATCCTTTCATTCAATGATATTATTATTTAACATCGCTGATATTAGGGATGCACACTCTGAAGTCTGTATTTCTCTTGCACGTGGCTCAATATCCTGCAATAATTTAATACTGGAACAGGATAACTTTAAACACACACACTTTACTGGTTAAAAAATGTATTTGCTACAGAAAAATACTTTATTATACTTCATTTTCCATACAATTTCCAAGTAATTTTTTTTTTTTAGTTTTAGTTTTAAAAACAAGGGTTGATAGCCTGAGAAAATATTTCCTTGTGTTTTTCTCAGCATTTTTGTCTTAACTTTGTACACTGTTAACCATCTGAATATGACCAGAAGAAGACACACAGTGATGGCATTGAGATATTACCTATGGGCAGTGTGTAGCACATTTTATAAACTCTCTCAACTATGCTGTTTTAATCACAGGTAGGAAGTCCTTAGACAAAGAAAGTGAAGGAAGCTAGTAGAATATGTTTTACAAATGTAGTAGTAGAAGTAGATTTATTTAGGAATCATTAATCATGGATGCCTCGCCTTTATTAACACCTAGAAGAAGGATCTCATACCCCTGTCCTTTATTTTCTGTTTTGGCATGCCACTTCTTATTATTTTATTTTATTTTTCGAGACAGAGTTTCTCTGCATTGCTTTGGAGCCTGCCCTGAAACTCATTCAGGCTGGCCTTGAACTCACAGAGATCCACCTGTCTCTGCCTCCCGAGTGCTGGTATCAAAGGTGTGTGCCATCAACACCGGGCTTGGCATACCACTTATTCACTACTGCTTTGTTTTCTGTTAATCAGAAAGAAATATGGTGGCACTGTAAACATAGAACGTGCTTACTTTGCTTATCTTGGGGAAAAGAAAGCCCAAAGACCTGTTAAATAATTGTCTTGTTAAGTTGAAGAAACCATAAAATTCAATACTATTTATTGAAAAAATATAGCAAAAATTAATATACATAAATTTCAGTTGGAGAAAGCTCAAAAGCACACTAAAGTAAATGTCTGAAGGAATATTTCACACAAAAGTAGAGGATGACTAGGGTTTTTTTTAATTCTACAAGTGACATTATTCTTATAATATATATATATATATATATGTGTGTGTGTGTGTATGTATATATATATACATATATATATATTCTTATTTTACATATCGATCCCAGTTCCCTCCCATGCTCCCTCGATCCCCCTCTCATCCCATTCCTCCCCCCCACTCCACAGGGAGGGTGATGCCTTCCAGGAGGAAACATCAAAATCTGTCAAGTCATTTGGAGTAGGGTTTAGGCCTTCCCTCCTGCCTCTAGGCTAAGGGAGTATCCCTCCAAGGGGAATATGCTCCCAAAGTCCACTCATGCACTAGGGATACATACTGGTTCCAATGTCAGAAGTCCTTTAGACTTCCCAGGCCTTCTAATTGAGACCTACATTCAGAGGGTCTGAGTTGGTACAATGCTGGTTTCCCAGCTATCAGTCTGGGGGTCCATGAGCTCCTCCCTTGTTCAGGTCAGCTGTCTTTGTATGTTTCTGTAACAGCCTGGTCTTGACCCCTTTGCTCATCACTTCTCTCTCTCTGCTACTGGATTCCAGGAGTTTGGCTCAGTGTTTAGCTGTGGGTGTCTGGTTCTGTTTCCATCAGCTACTAGATGAGGCTCTATGATGGCATATAAGTTAGTTATTAATATCATTATCAGGGAAGGGCATTTAAGGTAGCCTTTCCACTGTTGGTCAGATTGTTAGTTGGAGTCATACTTGTAGGTCTCTGGACATTTATCTATAGTTAGTTTTCTCTTCAACCCTATAGTGGCTCCGTCTATTATGGGCTCTCTCTCTCTCTCTTTTGCTTTTGTGTAATTGTCCCCCCGACTTAATCTCTGGACCCACACATTCTCCTCTCCTCCCCTTCTCTTTCTCTTAACTCACTGCCCCCCAACTCTCAATATGCTCAGGAGCTCTTGTTCCTTTCCCTTCTGTGAGGGACCTTTTATGAATCTCTTAGGGTCTTCCTTGCATCCTAGTTTCTTTGGCAAAGGACACAGCCGACAAGATCAAACGGCAGCTCACAGACTGGGAAAAGATCTTCACCAACCCCACATCTGACAGAGGGCTGATCTCTAAAATATACAGAGAACTCAAGAAACTAGCCACCAAAACACCAAATAACCCTATTAAAAAGTGGGCTATAGAACTGAGAATTCTCAATAGAGAAATCCAAAATGGCTGAAAGACACTTAAGACAGTGTTTAACATCCTTAGCCATCAGATAAATGCAAATCAAAACAACTCTGAGATACCATCTTACTCCTGTCAGCATGGCTAAAATTAGAAACACCAGTGACAACTTATGCTGGAGAGGATGTGGAACACTCCTCCACTGCTGGTGGGAGCGCAAACTTGTACAGCCATTTTTGGAGATCAGTATGGCGGTTCCTCAGGAAAATGGGAATCAGTCTACCACAGGACCTGGCAATTCCACTCTTATGCATATACCTAAATGATCCACATTCATGCAACAAAGACATGTGTTCACCTATGTTCATAGCAGCATCATTTGTAATAGCAAGAACCTGGAAGCAACCTAGATTCCCCTCAACTGAGGAATGGATAAAGAAGATGTGGCACATTTACACAGTAGAGTACTACTCTGCAGAAAAAAAGAAACAATGGAATCTTGAAATTTGCAGGCCAATGGATGGAACTTGAAGACATCATCCTGAGTGAGGTAATCCAGTCACAAAAAGAGGAACATGGTATGTACTCACTCATATATGGCTTTTAGACATAGAGAAAAGGAGTTGGTTAATGAAAATAAAATTATTGACTGTGTCAGAACCATGGTATGTCATTAAAAAAACTCATTTTCTATTAGCACTTTGCCAGAATAAATCTGATTTCCTCTATCACTTTTCTGTCTGACACATGACATACCTTTTGATACTGCTGTGTTATTTCCTATTATTGGTATAGATTACTCAGATATCATCTCAGAAAGGAGATGATATATGATGAGTACAGATTATAATCTTGATGCTGTATATCCCACCAATTATTTACTTTTTGGATTTTCATCCTAGGCTCTAGTAGCTGAAGAGTCATACAGAATATATACGTTACTTTGGTACTTCGGTAGCATGAATCTGAAATCAGAGTATAATAAATCTATACATTCTAGAGCATTAATTCTCAACCTGTGGATCATGACCCATTTCGGCCCACATATTAGTCTATATGTAAGATATTTACACTATGATTTATAGCAGTGGCAGAATTACAGTTATAAAGTAGCAACAAAAAACATTATGGTGTATGTGGGTCACCACAACATGAGGAGCTACATTACAGGGTCACAGCATTAGCAAGGTTGAGAACCATTTCGTGGTCTTTATTTTCATGTAAGGCTATAAAACCAATGCAGTCTCAAAGACACCTCTAGGTGTGGCTATGCTGGTTTTGATCTAGGAAATGTCACAAGATGTTTATTTCTTTGGTGGAAGAAGAGAAGTGAAAGTAGCCCCAGTGTGAAATGAGTGTCAGCAGGATTTTCATGCCTAGCTTGGAGTTTTACGGCATCTTTAAACAAATCAAGTCATACCTCTTCAATCTTCTGCTGCATGACCTTCCACTGACTTTCCCATTCTTTTCTTTCATTATCAAACTGGTCGAGTAATTCCATCCTTTCCTTGTGCCAGTTGGTCTGTGTGTTCGCCCGCTCCTCATACAGGTCCACGGCAAGTGTGTGAGTGTCAGCCAAGGGGTTTCTGCTCATCTTTGCCTTCTCTCAGCTGTTTCTTGGAAATGTGGAAGTGTTTGATTTGAAGTGGTCTCACTTGCCTTTAAAATAAAGCCTGAAATAAACATAAGACGACAGAGTTCCAAGTTTACGTACTCTGTGGAAATATCATTTTGTCAAGAGCCAATAACATAATTAAACTATAGAAAATGAAACATAAAAGAAGCAAGACCCTCCCCAGGTCAAGTGGAAAGACTCTACCAAGACCCAAAGCAGGTAGTCACTCGTCCTAGCAGAATCCCTGCCAATCTTAAAAATGAAAAAAAGGTCATTATTTTACTTCCTCAAATAAAATCTCAGGTATCTGTGAGACATTTCTTAAAGCTTATTCATAGTCTCTTTTCTTTCATCTGGACTACACATGTCTAGAATAATTATTATAGAAAACTGAAGAACAGCTTTCTTATGTTATACTAAGTAGTAACCAAAATGACTTGATTTCTATTATTCAGGATATGAATATTTAGGGTTTGATGAGACAATTTAAAATACCAGACATAGGGGCTGGAAAGATGACTCAGACCTTACGATTGCATACTGCTCTTACAGAGGAACTGCATTTGGTTCTCAACCCCCTTATTGGGTACCAACATTCAGGGAATCCAACATCTTTTTCTGAACTTTGTGGACACTTGTACTGACACACGCACATGTCCCATCCCCAAATGTACACATAATTAAAATTGGCCTTAAAATACCAGATACAAAATTCTGTTAAAAGATTTGATATTTTATTTACATTAAAGTGAGGATGTTCATAGCATTATTATGAACTTTGGATAGTATAATAAATGTACAGTAATTTGAAAACTTAAAAATACTTTGAACAAAAATCCTGCTTTATCTGGAGAGTTTTTATTAATAACATCATGTGTCTTTGAAGTGAATAGAAAAGCTTATCAATAATGCACGATTTTTAAAAAAATAATTGTGCCAATAAGAAACAGAGTTATGGGTAACTCAGCAGGCTCACATGATTATTTTGTCAGGGGCCTGGGTGAACTCCAGCATATGCATGTGTGCAAGGATGTGTGCATGTGCACTCACACACACACACACACACACATACACACACACACACTGGAAAAAGAATAAAATGAAAACTAAACAAAACCCCAAACCCCAATTCTTCATCTTACTAATCCGTGGCCATAATACCATTCCCTTTCTGTTACTTAAGCACGGATTTGCCAATAGTCAATGTTGTGGTGTCCCTGGCAGAATTAGGTCTATATGATTATGTAGCAAGAACAGTTTTGCCCTCATCCAAGACTGATGCATATTTCACACCCCATATATTAGATTACCGTGAAAGGTAACCTTATTTTTGTCAGGCCTCTCCAGTCAAGATAGGAATGAATTATTTAGACTAGAAGAAATTAGAAACATAACTCTTTATGCAGGCTCCACTTCTTAAAAAACAAACAAACAAACAAACAAAAACTCTGTTAATGGTAAGATCTATATTTTCTCAAAAACATTTACCAATGTCACTTTGATAGTTTTTGCATATTTCTTTGGCACTCACAGTATCATTATTAATTCAGTCAAGAAAAGTAAACAATTTCAAATTTAGTTACACACATGCCCTCATGAGCCCTGTGCCATTTACCCATGCTGTTTCTAACGTCATTTTGTTCCTCGTTATTGCTGGTTCTCTTTTGCTACTGTCCCCACTTATAAAGGCAAACCACGAAGTTCTAACACAATGAAGGTAGTAAAGAATTTACAGAACGTGGGTTTTTGTTTCAATGGACATAATCTTTACTAGTGTTGATAACCTAGTAAAATTTTAGGTTCACCTAAAACCCATTCCCAGGAAACACAGATGTCTTTTGTGAGAATGGAAGACTGCTTCAAAGTTATCTGTAACCAACTGTGAGCAGGATGCACCTCAGTGGCCATAAAGAATTGCCTCTGGGATGTCTTTGGAACGGGTAGAGGTCTGAGACATCAAGAAGAAACTACAAATTCGACAAAGGGGATGTTTTCTGACAAGATAGTCACAAAAAAGGTTTTATGATATTCCACAGTTTGTCCCAACTGTATTTAAAACTGGAGATACTCAGAAAGTATCCTCACAAGTATTTACGAAAGTCATGTAACAATGAGTGCAAGTTTTCTTTTGTTTTAATTCCTACTGAACCACAGGCCTCTTGGAGTTTAAAGGGGTCAAGCCCTTCTATTTTTATCTACGAGAAGATCATCCAGAAATACTCTAGATCAGTTTCGTCCCTAATAACAGGAGTATGTCAGCCCAGGAAAGAGTTGTGCAGGCCCGAATCCTGAGCTCCTCTGCAGAGTGTCAAACTTGTCAGCTTATGATAAAGGGCCGATCTTCACAGCCTCCCCTTTCCAGAATCAGAGTAAAATCTAGTTTGTGAAAGGTGATGGCCACCACTGAAAACCAATTATTGCGTATTAAAAAGAAAGCTTTATCAAAAAATGTTTATTTACAGAATGTCTACCATTTTTTTTTTGGTAGGGGGATTTCTTTATCTTTGCTAGCATCCGTGACTTGGATTCAATACATACAATTATCCACTGTAACACAGTAAGAGATACTGCACTGCTTTCTAAAAGCAAAGTGAGTGGGAGGCATGGAAACATTCTAAAGTGTAAGTTATCAAGTGAGAGAATGTGTACAAAGAATCTAAACACTACACATAATGAGTTCTTGATAAATGATGATTTCTTCCCCTTGTCTTTTGTCTTTTCCCCTTCTCTTAATCCATTCCTTCATGCATTTCCATGTAACCCACTTCCTAGAATAATACTGGTTATTTTGAATTTTACTTCCTTGGAACCAAGCATAACAGTGTAAATTTTTATATATTTTAGATTGTATCTTGCCTTAGCAGTTTTCAACTTTCTTAAGGATGTATACCAAGTATTTAGTGCAAAACAGTTTGTTGCTAGCAAAAAAGTTGAATAAATATATAAAATTTCTTTTGCTATCATTCTCAATCAAGATTTTAAGCTGTCAAGCTAAAGGGTCAGTTCTGTGGGGACAGAGTGTTCTGTGATGAGAAGTTTCAGGGTCAAGGGGATGAACACATCCAAAAGCTCAGTTTTAGTGTTCTGCACTGAAGCAGATATAAAAATTCTCTGTTCCTAGCTGTCCCTCTTCCCCTCCCACGGATGCTGGTATCTATGTGGGAGAGGGGAAAGGATTTTTGCATTCTGCATCTTCTTTCCCATATTCCCTTGCTCTCTGTTTTATTTTAGCTTTCTCATTCAGAACAGAAGTTGATTAGAGAAAACGGGGAAGGACAGAGGTAGCTGCATTTGTTAGTCACTCATGTGTCCCTCCCCCAGCAACAAGAATAAACTGGCATTGTATAATTCCTTTTAACCTACTTCTTCTCCCCAAGGCCAGAAGCCAAGACTGTAAAGGGCTGAGAGTGGGTTGCGCAAGTGTGGTGATGGAAGGCAAAATGCTTTAGCTAATGGTTCAGCTCTGCCAGGAAGCAAAATATAAGAACAGCAAAGGGGGGTCTCACAGAGGAAAATGATAACATGCAAGCTTTGGTGCAGGACAACTACTTTTGGCTTGGAGAAGCAAAGACGTGCTAACCTTGAGCATGTCCTCCTGCCTTGCCACAGCCCCTCCCAATCTGCCTCAGTTTGGTCAAGGCCACACTTCTTCACCTGAGGCATGCTCTCTTTTTTCTATGTCACGGTGTGATCATCTCAAACTCCGTCTTGCCCACTGAAAACTGGCTGTTAGCCAAGCAAGCCTTACAGTGCTAGGAGAGGTTACTGTGCTATTACTTCTATCTTAGTAGGACTCTGCTCTGAGGACTTGTTTTTTTTCTTCACGCACATGAGGATACATACTCCAGAAGGAATGTATGAGTCACCAGATGCTGCCAACTTCACAATTCCTAGAAGAGATCATTTGGCCTGGGGATGCTTTGCTCTTGATGAATTTGGAGGAATTAGGAAACCCCATGCCTGTACCTCAAAGTAGAGCATCATTTGTCTGCGAAGTTCTCTAGCTCACTTCCCAGGTTATTGTCAATCACTGATACCGTTTCAGTCAATTAAGGATTCCTATCCTTCTTGCACTGTTCAACAGCAAATGCATCTATTCAGAGACCTCCCCATTGGACTTGTTTAGAAGATAAAATGAAAAGTCTCCATTCTTTATTGCTATTTCTGCCTGATCTTCATTTCTCAGCAAGGTCAGACAGTTACAGCACACCCAATACCAAAGAAATCAAGTTTGGTTTTGCTATGATTACTGTCGTTTATTCTTGGCTCTCCACTTACTTACTCATACTTTCAATGTAAGCGGTAGGCACATCGATTTCAGTTCCCTTAGCTGATAAAATAAAGGCTCTGATTAAAAACAGCAACTTTTAGCCTGGGGAAGCCAAGATCTAAGAGTAGTAAGTAACCTTGGGCAGAGGGTGTACCACTGCTAATTCTGGAAGACTCCAGTACCTCTGAGATAACACTGCAGTAACACCCTGGAGTCTAATGGTCATCTTGGATGATGCCACATTTTTTTTTTTAATTGTGGGTTTCAAATAGCAGCAGACTTGGGGGTTGTGAATTTTATCTTGCAGGTTTTAAAAATCACTTCATCCTGCCGCAAATTGCATTCTAATAAATAGTTAAGGAAACTTATAGTGAGCAAAGTTTTTGTGATCTACTGAGCCAGTGAGAAACACATTCTCAGGGTGAGGATGGCAGGATCAGGCCAGGCTTGGGAAATCTACCCTCAGCAGCTGAACAGCAGCTTCCCTGAGTCAGTTGAATCCGTTATGTACCCCGCCCATTGTCCTAAATCCCAGACACAGGCATCCATCAGCTCAGGAGATGCTGAAATCCCACGTTACTTAAACCTCATCCACTGTCTAAAACGCAGCAACTGCAGCCCCTCTGTACCCTGCCATAATCAGTGTCTTGCTTTCAAATTTGTCAGAAAGAAACATACCTTCTTGCACTTGGGGGCAATCCTGCAACAGGTCAGGCTCTGTGGTTAAGTCTAGCAATGTAAGACGTGGGCAGAGAGCTAGTTGTCTGAAAGAACAGTCTCGATGATTCGTCTTTAAAACAAAGTCCGTCTATTC